TATTGCATCCAAAACTCCAACCAAAATGTAAGCTAACAAAAAAAATGGTCCAATCATAGAAGTCAGTTACGAGGACATCTACAGTAGTAAAAACTGTCTAATCCCTTTTTTTTCGGCTGACAACCGTACGGGTGTCCCTGTTGGTAGTCCGTTATCCTTTTCTGCCTAGATTGCTGGGCGATGTTGGCTTGTCCTTTAGCTCCTTGCCCTGCCTAGCGACTCACTCCTTCTGTTCAATTTAGACGCACTTTACTTTTTCTGCAATAGAAAAAAATCATTGGGGAGAAGGGAACGAGAAACAACAGGACATGACAGCCTCCTGCCGAGCCCTGCACAAAATTGAGCGTGCAATTTGGCTTTTCTTTTCAATAATTTTCCATTAGACAAGAATACGATCCACGCAAAAAAAAAAGAACAATAAAAACAGACGAAGGGTGAGAGGGCGAAAAAGGGGGAAAAATCGAATGCGTTGGCACAAAAAGGGGGCCATTGGCCAGGCGGTGTAAATGATGATAGAGGATTTGGGGTGGATGACTTGCTCACACACACTCACCTCCGTGTTCGCCAGTGTGTGTCCGTACCGTACCGCACACATAAATATATATAGCACCGCCGACGACGACGACGACGACGACACTTCTGGTTCAGTGAAGCATAAGAAATTCTCGAATGAATCGCTCTGTTGACGCTTGAGTAGACTTGAAGCGATAAGCGGTTTTTTGTCCCATATACAAAAATATATCTAGTCGCGATTCCCTTTGTCTGCCGGCCCCTGGTCCATGGTTTCTGGTCCCTGGCCCCTGGTCCCTGGCCCCTGGTCCCTGGCCCACTCCCAGTCAATCTGGTGCACCCATTCAAACAATAACTTTAAGTCTGGGCAAGAGGTTCCGATTTGCTTGGCCAACTTTAAAATCACTCTGTAGCTAAGCTCAAAAAAAGGTTTTCTGACCGCTGGTCAGGGGGCCAAATTACATCGACATTTAGGTTCAACAGAAATATATTTCAGTTATTTCTGTACCAAGCGAGCTAATACTACGTTTATGCTTTTAGTTGCATGAATCAAAATAGCCATTGTTTATGCGATACAGGCATGGTATAATGTTACCAGAGATACCAGAATTTTAAAATTTAGTCCCAACTTAAATTACATGTCTGGCAGTTCTGCTCTTAATTTTTTAATCCTTTTGAAATCGTCAAAGCGAACAGGAAAACTAATTAACACTAAAGCCGATTGAGCACAAGAATAATAAATGACCTTCAAAGGGGGAGAAGACTGTGATTTCATATGTTTACTTTGACTTCCAGTGTTGCGCCTCACAATTTCACGCATTTGATCTGAATTCAATGTTAACTTTCATGTGCAAGCCTAAACATGAAGTAGTGTTTATACGCACACGTATTTCCCTATTTTATGACCATCATATACACACAGTATAAGGGAACTACATAAAAAATACTCGTTGCATGAGTATGAAATGTAATTAAGGTTTCATATAATTAAAAGTTTCATGTAACTGGATCTAAAATGTTTGTAAGGCCTAAGGCTTATCGCAAACTATCATAAATACGCCGAGTTTCTAATTCAGCCCACCGTGCGTATGCGCATTATGGCCTCCCAGCTGATAGCTCATACGCCACGTTGCCACACTGCCTTAAGCATCAACCCAAGCCCAGAACCCTGGCCTAATGGAATTAATCAAATGTCATGCTGATGTCGCACAAACAAGTAAAAAGTTCCCCTGGCGGTGGCCGCTGTTGTCGGCGCTCCTGTTCAAATGTCATTGGCACTAGTGATTCAGATGTTTAAAGTTTCGGACAGCGGAGCCGCCGCATAACTAGTTAACAAGCATTTGCCGCCGGCACTCAACGATTGTGGAGGGCACAGGACGGTCCAAGGACGGCACGATGCCCGTTAAATTGTTGATCTTGGGCAGGCGACAGCATCTGTTCGATACCACAGGCGGCACATAGAAGCCATCGTACAGCACACACCACACAACACACAGCACACAGCAAACACCAAACACACGCGCACATATGTACCGTTTTCGGTGTCGTGATTCTTTTCGCCCCTGGGGCAACATGTGTCCGTATCTATATCTGTGTATCTGGGCGGGCAAAATCTGAAACCAATTTGCTTGCCCGCCCCGTCGCCCCGCCGCTGCATTCTATTTCAGCGCAACCATTGCCACTCAATTTGAATTATGGGCACGGGTCAAAGCCAGGCAAAATGTGATATCGTGGACCCCCGAGGCTCGTCGCGTTGCCATCGATCCAGGAGCAGAGGGAGAGCACTTCCGAACGGGTTATTTATGTATATATCCGTATTTCCATATTGCTGTATTTCTATATTTCTGTATTTCCTCTTCACCTATTCTGATATCTCATATGAGTTGTGGTCTATTGTTTGTCTCATATGGCTTGCACTATTGTGGCTTTTTCATTTTAAATAAGTGTAAATATCTACATTTCGAATTATATGAGCAATTAAGCTATGATGACTTTCACTTCAATTATACGGTTCTTCCTATGGCAGTTACATGCTATCGCTTTCCAATTTAAATACATTTTAAAGCGTAATTCTAAGTTATCAAACCATTTCCAAATCCAAAAGAATTATAACAAATAATTGAAAATTAGGGAAGTTACAATTGCTTTTCATTTGCAAGGGTATAAATACAAGTTAGATATTTAATATTGCTTATTTCAGTACAGTTTTGAGTTTTTAATCAAATAATTCGTATGTGTCCTGCATAATTTTCATACAAATAAATTCCATAGCGGTATATAAAATACATACTTTCCAAAGGTGTCCCATGAAACTTGAAACACAATAGCAGTGGACAACACATTATTAGTCATATATTGTATTGAGCTTTTGCCGCAAGTAGCTCTTTTAAGTATTTTAAATAAGAGTTGAAGAGAAATTAAAACATATAAAAGTGGGGAAGGAACAAGGAGTTGGACAAAGGAGCTGCAGAGGTTATGGATATGCCTTCAGTCTCGGCCATGTGTGCTTGGCCTTGGCCCCCAGCTCCCCCTCCCTCCAAAAAACGCGGCTAAGAAACTTTCGCCCTACTTTTCCCACTTTCCCCCACTTTCCCCATCTCGCCACACGCGACTCTCCACGATGGCGTTGAAAATAATTACACTTGCTGATTTATTGAGTGTCGTGTGGTGCGGCGGGAAAACGGAGGAAATGCCTTGCACCGCCCGGATGTTGTTAATGAGGCACGACATTGGTCGGGATGGCTCGGATTGGATGGAATTGGATGGAATTGGATGGGATTGGGTTGCAGTGGCCACGTCATATTGTAAGCGCCCCAAGGTTGAGTGGGGTCAAGTGATTAGACCCATTCCCGCGACCTGGCAGTGAGTAATCGTGTTCGCCGGGGAAACGGAGCCGCACTGCAGTCCACCCCAATTCGATTACAAGTCGTGATGGTGGAAGTTGAAATCTATTTATTCACGTGGCGAGTAGGGGGCTCACGAAAATGTCAAAGGTTTTACCCGCCGAGGGGTTCAGTTTCTTAGTGCCAGGGAAAGGTGAAATACACATTTGAAAATATCGATTTGTTGGGTGGGCAGTATAATTAAGTAATTAAAAGAGATTTAAGTCTTACATTACTACACTAAATACTAGAATACAATTTATGCAATTGCACACAGTAAAGGGAGATGTAAGAGTTTTGACATTTCCGCATTTCATCAGTGCTCAAATTCATCACCTTTTCATCAGTCTGCCGACTGCGACGCTGGCAGAGCCCACACTCTCAGTCGAAAGTCGGAGCAAACGCGTTTAAAATTTCATTTTCCTCTTTCAATCTTATTCTCCCGATGAGATTTTCTGATGAAAACGCGAGGAAAATGTGTGATTATGCGATGCATTTTTCACTGATTAACTTCAATGCCATACCAATCTAATAATGATGAACACTGTTGTGTGAGGAAATTCATCAATTAATCATCACCAGTGATGCATTTCCGGCGATGATTCACCGATGAAAAACCGGGGAAACTGCAGGGATATGTAAGCTTGCTGGTCACACTAGACTTATGTACACACCATAAACTTATGTACACTTACACTGAGAGGTTTTTCCATCGCCAATCCAATTGAAATTTTTGCTTAAATTTTCCGTGACTCTACACTGACATACGTAACATGTGATCTTCTAATTGTGTTGGTTGCAGTTGCAGTTGCAGTTGCAGTTTTGAGTACCCCTATACTAGGGGGACCTAAGGCAGCACCTCGCACACTTTTCTTTGAGTGTAGATCAGTCCTATGACTTGTTTCCCTGCTCCCCAAAAGTACAGACTTGATTTGCGGTGAGTCGTAGGCCTAACCATTCCGAGATTCTGACGCCGAGGACTTCAGTCCGATGTCCAAATGTCCGATGTAATGGACCAGACATTTCGAAAGTTATGATGTGGCGAGGCCAGGATGCGACACTCACCCGGATCCGGGTCCGGATTCCGGATTCCGTATTCCGGCTCCCCGGGTGCTCTGATGTATGGCTTGCGTGCGGCAGGCGCATATTCAAAGGCATCGCTCAAGCGAAAGTGAAATTAATTACTCAACTTCAGCTGAGCTGCGCCGAGTTAAGTTGCAGGTTGAGTCTCGTTTTGGTTCGCTTCGTTTGACTTGAGTTGAGTTAAGCTAAGTTGCTGCTGCTGCTGCTGCCTCTACTGCCGTTATTAAGGAAAAAGCCCAGCATTTGGATGGCCTTCCGCTCGTCCTGGTGGTGTGCCAAAATTTGATTTGCGCAAACAGTTGCGCCTTCGGATCTGAGATCCCGATCCGGACTGAGAAGTGCCAGGTAATGGCACCATCGCTGCGGCTCCGATTACTTTTGACCCGTTGGAAACTCGAGGCATCCATTCCGCCAGTTCTCTCATTAGACGACCAGCTACAACGAGCCATCTTTTAATTATGGGCCATCGACTCGGGGCGGCTTTAATCAGCGTCAATTGGCGAATACAAAAGCGAAAATTGCAAAATGTGTAGGGGCAAGATAACGCCAAAGGAGGAGGCGGTGAGAGACACAAAAACCTTTTGCTAATTTAATTAAATTACACAATTTTCGCTGTCGCTTTTTGTAGAATAATTGGCAATAAATTGATTAAAGAGTTAATTAAACATGCGGCCATGCCAGTTGCCAGGAGTGGGTCCCCGGGTTCCTGGGTCCGTTCGGGGGGGCGTGGCCGAAAGTGGGACGCGACAGGAGGGGGCGTGACCAAGCGGATAGATAATTACATAGGCACAAAGTGCTCGACCCAACTTGGGGTGTTTAGGGGGTTTTCGAAGTGCAATCGAGGCATGTACATACACAATGAAGGACCTCAGTGGGGAAAAACAACCAAATGCATCGAATATGGGACTCGCAAAATCTTAAAAACACAAGAGCTGCTAGCTCAAAATTATAAAATCTTGTATGATAAGTAAATATTGATGCGCCACTTATAATAGTCGAAATATTCAACATCATAAAGCACTCAACTTGAATAATTGGATACCGATTTTAAAGTGCCACTAATAGTTCACTATTTGTCAATCAATATACGTTCATTACAAATTCATAGCTGTCTTACTTGTCTCGGGTAATTATTTTGTCTGGAAATTGATCGAAACGGATTTTATAGGTCGCCAGCTGTACAAAACAGTCATTCTTATGGCTGTGCGTTATATTTTGGCCAAATTACAACAAAAAGACCCTCTGGAAAGGTTTTATTTTCTTATTTCTCGAAAAACCCGAAAAAAATCAATTTTTGTATCAAAAGACTGGGAAATAATAGTCGGAAGTTGGGGTGTCATGCATCGTTGGATTCGTTATAAAATTGCCAATCAAATTAACATTTTTTCAGTTTTATAAATTTTTGCAAAATATAATGATGTACCCCCTTATTAATATTAATGTAAGAAATATTTGATTTAAACAATTTCCTATTAAATTTTAATGCATTTTGCTTAAGTTAAATGTGTCAGATGATTAAAACCAAAGCGAAAAATATTTAAATTGAGTAGAAAATATTTTGACTAACCAGTTTTTTTTACCAATGCAAAGCTTGTCTTGTTAGCCCTTTGACCTCTACTTATTCCCGTTTCTCTCTGTCTTTTCTTGTCTCGCTCCAGCTTAAGGAAAAATGCCGCTGGCATTGCAGGAGTTGCAGCTCGCGTCCGCTGCCACGCCCCCGCCCCACTAGAGGTTGAGCCCATTCCATTGGAGGCGGGGCAGCAGCAGCGGCAGCATCATGGCCGACCAGCCATTGAGCACCAGCAGCGGCACCAGCACAGCGGCAGCAACATCGGCGGGAGCAGCAACATCCGCCTCCACATCGACGGCAGCCACAGCCACAGCTACCGCCACAGCCACATCCACATCCACATCGACGGCAGCCACATCCACGGGAGCCACGTGGATGCCCCACCCAGTGGATGGCTCCCATCCGGCGAACGGCAGCGTTGAGGGCCCCACAATGCCCGCCGGCTACTTGCCGCTCTACGAGTCGGATGTGGAGGCGGCGGCGGCGGCGGAAGCGGAGGCGGAGGACGCCGGCTACGCGCTGATCGACGACATCAGCGAGTGGCTGTTGGGCTCGGTGGACGGAGGAGGAGGAGGTGGTCCTGGTGGGGGGGCGGAGAACAGCACGATAATGGCCGCCAACGAGACGCTGGGCTGGCTGGAAATGCTGAACAGCACGCTGCCAACCAGCAGGAGCAACGTCAGCAGTGCGGAGGAGCCGCTCCAGGAGGCGGACGGCGATGACGAGGGGGAACTGCGGGGGCGCTATGCACTGCGCAGCTTTGTGGAACAGCAGCTGGGGGGAGGGGCAGCGGGCGCGGGGGCGGCTGGTAACGGCGGCGGCGATGCGGGCATCGCGCTGATCGACAGCGGCGAGGAGGCCGCACTGGACAACGTGGCGGATGCGGAGACGGACTACGGACTCCTGGGCGGCTTCGGCGATCCGGAGCTGCTGCAGCGCACCGCGACGACGGCGGTGCGCGAGACCCTCGGCAATCGCACGGCGTCCGCCCCTGGCGAAATGGGCGTGGCTGGTGTGGCCGGTGTGGCTGGCGGCCTGGGAACGGCGGGGGGCGGAGGAGCGACTGGAGGAGTGGCTGGAGGAGCGGGCGGATCAGGAGGCAGCACCTTCATGCTGCTGCTCGAAAACTTTAACGATTATTTCCCCAACTACAATGGGAGCACGGTTTCGGGGACGACCACGATGGCGCCGGGCGTGGTGGGCGGCGTGGTGGGCACGGCCAGCGGGAGCGGCAGCGGCCTGCTGCTGGAGCAGAACCTGACCGGCCTATTCCTCGACGGCTACCGGCAAAACTGCACCAACGAGACGCTCAACCTGACCGACTCCTGCGCCGAGCTGAGAGTGGGTGAGTATCACACTGTGCAAAATAACCGGGTTATTAGAGTCGTTTGAATAACTTAAATGTGGGTGCATGCAACAACGACCAGTGCAATAACGCCGAGTATTACCAAACATAACAGTTTTTATGTTATGGTTGATTTAATATCGCAAAATGCAATGCCTGCAGGCCTAATTGCATTTCCAAAAGTGAAATAATTATTAATTAATTATTACAAAATAAAACATTGTGATTGATTGGATAAAAAATAGTAAAATTGTCCAGGAACACATTCGTTTTTTTTTGCAGACACAAAAAAAAACAATTAACATTTTAAAAGAGGTTGTCTCTGTTTTTGCACCCTCAATTCTTAAATTGTTGCCTTATTGATACTAGTGCTTGTTGCATTCATTCCCTTTAATATACCTTTTAAAGATTTCTCTTTGCAAAAAACGGTTTAAAAATTAAAAATAACAAATAGGAAACAATATAAAACTAGCCATTCTCATTTTTTAATATTCTGCTCTGTGATGTGTTAACAGCTCCAACTAAAAAAAAATATATTTTTCATAAAGAAATTTAATTAAGTTTAGATAAAGCCCGTTTTCTCTGTTGTAAAAGGTTTAACCAGCATTTTAAAAACGTAAAAGTACTACTACCACTTTGGGCACGTTCGTTGGCAGATATCACTCATGAATGAATTAAAATAATTTAACGTTTAATCCGAAAGTGTTCTTGGTCTGTAAATCCGTATTTGGGTAGCCATCTCGCTTAAACAAACAGTTGAGCGCGTCTGCAGCCAGAATTTCATTAAGTAGTGCTGAATTTATAAGCCTTCGTGAGGTTTTCGTGAAACAATCCAGTCCAGCAGAATGGACTGCAGATTAGCACAAAAACATGCCGAATGCACTATGAGTCCGGACTTTAATCTTGCCTTTGCAGTGGACCACAACTACTGGGCGCTCATCCTGATTCTCTTCCCCATCCTGACCCTCTTCGGCAACATCCTGGTCATCCTGTCCGTGTGCCGCGAGCGCTCGCTGCAGACAGTCACGAATTATTTTATAGTCTCGTTGGCCATCGCCGATCTCCTGGTGGCCGTGGTCGTGATGCCGTTTGCTGTCTACTTTCTGGTAAGTAGTCACTCCACTCCACTCCACTCCACTCCCCATACCCCAATATAAAAGTATATAATAGTGTGTGGCAAGGTGGCCAATTCGGGAGTGTCAAAATCAAAATGGCCAAATGCAAAATGGCCAGCCATTTCCGTTTAATTTTATCAAGTGTTGGGTCATATAATAAATAAACACGCCCATAAATACCAATCAGGACGTCGGCCTGGCCAAATGCAGGAGGACGTGGCTTTTAAGTAAATTGGGGCCATTCAAGCAATAACATTCAATTTTTGGCGATGCCGGCATATAAATCAATGTGTTTCCCAAGCAACTTCTTGGGGGCGGAGAAAAAGCGAAACCGAGGAGCGAGTTCGAGCAGTGGGAAAGTTGGAAAAGAAAGTTACAAAACAAAAAGGACTTCAAAAAAAGGCAAAGAGTGCCAAGTTGCTAAATTGGAAATCATTTAATATATCAATAAAACGAGAGCTAATTTATATTTACATTTAATTTGTTGATTTAGAAAGTATGCATTTTTACATATAATAAAATGGTAAATATTCAAAAAATGCAAATGACAAAGGCTAAATCCATTTGAAATACTTTGAAAATCACAAATAATAATCCCAGTTGTGGTGATTTAAATTCGTGTTCTCAAGGCAGAGGAGTGATTATATTTTATAGTTTTCTTACTGCAAAAGTTTACCATAAAACTTAAAATAAAAGTCACTTATAACCCAAGGAAGAGCTTTAAAAATTAAGTGATTTATAGTAGTTTCCATGTCTGTTTTGGTCTACAGAATGCCAAAAGTGTAAGTGTGAGCTTCGGGTCAGTGAATTGGTATTTAGTTTGATTGAAATTCAGCGACTGTAGGTTGGGCGCCGGAAGACAAACGCCCGTCTTGGGCGACTGCCTTTGACTTAAGCCGACGAAGCTGTCATTCCGTATGATTGATTGTGCGATTGACTGACTCACTGCCAACTTTCTAGCCAAGTGGCCTCGTCCGCTGAGAGTTGACTTCCACCAGGACCACCGGGATGGGAAACCGGCTCACTAACTGACTGACAGATTGACCGGCCTGGGCCTCATCCCCTTAACCTACTTCCGACCTGACTACTCTGCTGGCTCATCAGCATTCGGATGGCGGACTGCCTTTAAAGAGTGGCCTCCTTAATTGGTTGCAAGCCACGCTTGTCACTCCTGCCACATTTAATTGCATGTTTGTTTCATTGCTACCGAGTTATACCAAATGTCCATTGCAGTGTTAAAACGGTCGGAAGTTAAACGAAATGAACAGCCGCATAGCACATTCAGTGGCAGCGGGGGCACTTGTCACACAAATGGGAACAAGAAACTGCCTGTTTGTTTACAATTTGAATATTTATTTACGATCTGCCTGCTTGGCCCACTTGATGAAGATTGACTGGCCGGGCGGGGAATGTGGCAAAAACAATTGTTGTGCGGCTGGATGGATGGGTAAAAAAGTGCAAAAACCTGGGCTCGTCCGGGAGTTGAACCCGGGACCTCTCGCACCCGAAGCGAGAATCATACCCCTAGACCAACGAGCCGCTTGTAAAACGGCCTGTCCAAAGTTGCTCAAGTCCCACATGCCGAATAGAGGGAGACGGGGAGACAGGGAGCACCATCAGATCTAACTACGAGATATATGTACTTGGCTGCCAAATCGATGCATTACCCGCAAATTAAAGACTGTTGACTTTCTAATCACGCACGCCAACAGCGAGTCACAGTTAATTAACTTGTCATTAAGTGCATCATCAGTGCAGGTGTCGGCTTTTAATTACCGCCCACCGCCCATTGCCCACTGCCCACCCACACACACACACACACGACACGCCCACTGGTCAGAAGCAGTCTGGCATGTCCTTAACAGCCTTTCGCCAGTGAAATTGATTTGATTTGATTTGATTTGCAGCTTGAGATTCGTGCAGAATTGGTTATGCCATCTCTTTCTTTCTGGCGAGATCTAGCTCGCGCCGTCTCTCTCTGATTCATGCTGCACAGAGAAAAACGAGATCACCTGGCAGTTTAATCAACTTTTTTATTTTAAATGTAGAAAAATAGAAAAAGTCACTTTATTATGTTACGGTGCATACATAACCCTTTAAAAAATCGCATTCTTTTTGACCCAACTTATATCGCTTTTCGAAAACTAACTTACGTAAGTTAATTTAAATTATGGAAGCAGGGAATGAATATTGCAATCTATGCAAACACTTATCAAATGCTTAGCTTAACAAGTGAAAATATTTAAAGTGTGTGTGTTTTAATATACTTTAATAATATATATATATATATATATATGTATATATATATATATATATATATGTATATATATATATATCGATGCTTAAGGAAGAATTGAATTTTTGGCTTGATAGTTTGCAATTTCATTTTCACAGAAATAATTTAAAGTTCCTAAAACTTATTCGAGCAAATTGCAATTTTTGGTAATTCTATCCAATCATTTCATGAACTAATAAACGTAATGGTCAACTCAACTCAATACTGTTAGTTTGTTTCCTTTCCTACATGAATAGGTTTGAGTATAATTTTAATAAAGGCTTTTCAACAACAGATGAAGATGTGTCACAGTAATTAATCGGTGGCGGTGAAACTTACCACTAAGCATTATTAAATGCAGGTCGTGTCGCTTTTCCAAGGGATGCCATCGCACATACACACCCACACACTCACACACACACTCTCGCACACACCCAGTGATATACGCATACCCATACACTCGCGCGGACACACATGAAAATTGATTTAGTTAAGAGGATTTGCGTCAACAACAGCACAATAAGTGGGCAGTAACACGGTCCAGTGCGATGTGGAGGAAATGGGAAATGGGAAATGCGAGTGGGTCAATGGAAAACCCGGGGGGTGGTGGTGGGTGCTGGGCGATGTGCTGACACTGGAGATTGGTGGCTGAAGGTAAGGAAGATTGGACGCTCTCGGCGCTCATTGTGTGCGCTGGCATTTGTGCCGGATAGCACTTAACTCATAAAAATGTGCGCAACAAAGGTTGAGGTATCCACCGCTCACCGCTGACGCTGACCTTTCTACCCCATGCAACACCCAACCACCCAACCACCCAACCACCCAACCACCCACTACCCACCCAAAAACAGAAGCAACAAGAGAGGACGAGATGATGCCAACAATGGAGAATTATTGCTTATGACACAAGCCAGCGGACAAACAAGAAATGTTGGCTGTCCTCGTATTCCTGTCAGCGGTGGGCGTGGCAGGACACATATACACCGCCCATTGAGAAGCTGGGTGTTGCTGCTGATGTTCCTTGGGCATGGGTCCAGGGCTCGTTTTAACTCGCGGCTTAAACAAATATACGTGCATGTGTCTGTGGACCAGTGCTTTTCTATTTTAAGTGGTTGTATATGTCAGTTGAAAGCTTTTGTTGACATTCAAGTGGTCATTGAGAGTGTAAAAGCGTGCATACTGGACTGAATGGGCGGTTGGGTGGTGTATGATGGTGTGTGGTGCCGAGGGGAAACGCTAACTGAAAGAAAATATCACCGGAAATGGTGATCAACTTGGTTTTTTAATGCCGCAAAGGCAGCCACAGAAATTCCCTTCAAACCGAAAGTCTCATTTGGTCGTTACCAAAAAAATGCACATATTTTAATTTTGTTTAAATAAAACAGTGAAAGTCTTCTATTCCAAATATTTGTACTACTTCATAAATCCGCTTGGCTTATAACGACATAGAAATAAATTTAGAAATTTTTGAACAAACCAAATATTTTTGCTTATAGTTTGAAGTTAACCATATTATATTGAGTAACTGAAATGTGATGTGAAAAGTGATGGCGTTTTTCTCTGTGTGTAGGATCCAAGCAAGTCTGCGAGCTCGCTTCATGTTCGGAGCACTAATCTGATCAGAGCTGTGTTTGCTTTCTGTCTGGGAATGGGAGGATTTCTGCGATTCCTTCTGTAATGTTTCCTTTTTCCGTTCTGCGCTCCCTCTGGATGCTCTTCTGCCGTTGTTAATTGCTTTTGTATGCAGCCTGGGCAATGCTTTCACGCTGACTTCTGCAGAAAAAGGCCAGCACGGGCTGGATTAGGGGAATTCGGTCAGAGGATAACACAGAGCATCTCGGTGAGCGAATGCAGTCATGCTCTATAAGGCGATTATCATTTTTCCCTCTCAAAATTGTATAGCCGACAAATACAGGTTATCCAATGTGCTGAATTCAGCCATCATTGCCAAAAAGTCTTGGCGAAAATGATTAATACCATCGACAGTAGAGGGCAACAATGAAGGTCAAGAGCACATCCAATAGGTTCGCTTCTCTTGGCAACCCCACGTGCAGTTGTGAGTTATTCTGAAAATGTATATATGCCCCGGTCCACGTAGCGTATGAGCGACGTCAAGTGCTCGGAAAACAGCCTTTGACGGCAATCGTTAATCGTTCAGGTCTGCATTGCCCATTGCCCGTTGCCCGTTGCCCTCGTCAGTGCGCATCGCACCCACTTAAGTGGGCCGTAAAGAGGCAGCAGAAATTGCCATAAGTTCATGGCAAAAATAAATAATCTGATTAATGTACCCCCACAATCACAGACTTACGCACACACACTCGGCCACTTGAGTCACTTGAATGGACCGCAGGACTCGCAGGAAAGTAGCTGGCACCCGGATATGCGGCGACGATAACGGCACTTAATCAGCCTTTGACCCAAAATAAAGAAAAACACTTAGGAGAAAGGGGAAAGGGGAGGAAAGGCTGCTCCTCAATTCCCAACGAAAATAACACTTGGCAACAGTGATTTTGGCCTCATATAGACTACTTTATGCATATCCCAAGATGTTCTATCTACCGATTTTATCGTTTAAAATTAGCTGACCTCGATATCTCTTTAAATGATTACATTTTCTGCTAATGAATCAGTTTTGCAAACCTCTCCAAAAGTACAAGTTTTTTCAACCTACAAAGATAAGTTGACCTTAAATATTTTAATATGATATTCATACATT